CAGATATGGAATCACAGCAGACAGGGTCTTTTGCAACTGACTTCTTCCACTTCATAATGTTTCCAAGGTTCACCTGTGAAGTACTGTGTATCCTTTTAATTGCCAAATAATATCCCATTTATGGATACACCACAACTTTTTTATTCATTTGTCAATTTATGGGCATCTGGATTGTTTCTCTTTTTTTTTTTTTTTTTTNGACCCAGAGATCTCACATTGCAAGATGGCGGAAGCAGAGAAAGGAGAGAGAGAGAGAGAGAGAGAGAGAGAGAGGAGAGAGGGGAGAGAAGAGAGAGGAGAGAGGGAGAGGGAGAGAGGGAGAGAGGGAGAGAGAGAGAGGGAGAGAGGGAGAGAGACTCCCCTCCCTCTTCTTTTAAAGCCCTCAGAACCATGCCCCTGACCACCATTTTTAATCCATTCACCATTGCATGGCCCTATAATCTAATCACCTCTTCAAGGCCCCACCTTACAATTACCATGATAAGATTTCCCACCTTCTTTACAGTCACAGTGGGGGCTAAGTTTCTAAAACATAAAACTTGGGGGACACAATTCAAGCTTCAATGAGTTTTGGGGGACATAATTTAATCAGCTACACCCCCCCTGGACTGTGGACTTCCCACACTCCAAACTCTGGGAATCGCTTATAGCCACTCTCAGAAGGATTTATCAGCACAAACAATGCAGATTGCGAAATGAAAAAATCTGAAACAAAAGCATGTGCTCAAATCTCCCAGAAACCTGTCATCAGAAGACGGGTGATGGGCCAGCCTGTGGCTCACTCGGTAGAGTGTGGTGCTGATAACACTAAGGCCACGGGTTCGGATCCCATATAGGGATGGCCAGTTAGCTCACTGGGTGAGCGTGGTGCTGACAACAGCAAGTCAAGGGTTAAGATCCCCTTACCTGTCATCTTTTTTTAAAAAAAAAAAAAAAGAAGAGGGGTGATAATTAACAAGAAGACAATACAGCTTCAATAAAAAGATTGTGTCCAATTTAGTGTATCAAATGCCATATTGGATTTATCTTTTTGTTAAGAGAGACACCATTTATTTACCTTAGCATCAAAATTACAGAAACATTTTATTTTTTTCCTTGTTGTCTTTTTTTTGTGTGTCCGGCAACGGATCACAACCCTCAGTGTCACGCCCGCACCTCGCTCACGCGGGAACCGGTCTGTATGTGGGATCCGAACCCTCGGCGGGAGCGCCACCGCGCTCCCAAGTGGCGCACTGTAGCAGTGCACCACCGGGCCGGCCCTACAGAAACATTTTTAAAAATGCAAGTATAGAAATAAAAATAGAATGTTGTTAATAAAACAAACAAAACCATTATTCTGCACAGTGCTGATAACACCAAGCAAGGTGAAGGGTTCAGATCCCTGTACCATCCAGCCGCAAAAAAAAAAAAGTTGTGCAATGGTCACCACTAATTCTACAGTATTTTTATCACCTGGAAAAGAAACCCCACATCTATTAGCAGCTCGTACCCACTCCCTGTTGGCAACTGCTACTGTATTTTCTGTCTCTATGAGCTCACCTGTCCTGGACATTTCAGATATGGAATCACAGCAGACAGGGTCTTTTGCAACTGACTTCTTCCACTTCATAATGTTTCCAAGGTTCACCTGTGAAGTACTGTGTATCCTTTTAATTGCCAAATAATATCCCATTTATGGATACACCACAACTTTTTTTTTTTTTTGTCTTTTTTCCGTGTCCGGCAACGGATCGCAACCCTCAGTGTTGCCCCCGTACCGGACCGGGGACCGGCAACGGGATCGCAAGCCTCGGCGTTGCTCCCGCGCCTCGCTCAGCCAGTGAGCGGGAGCCGGTCTGTACGTGGGATCCGAACCCTCGGACGGGAGCGCTGCCGCGCTTCCCAAGCGGCGCACTATCCAGTGCGCCACCGGGCGGCCCCCACCACAACTTTTTTATTCATTTGTCAATTTATGGGCATCTGGATTGTTTCTCTCTCTTTTTTTTTTTTTTTAAAGATGACTGGTAAGGGGATCTTAACCCTTGACTTGGTGTTGTCAGCACCACGCTCTCCCAAGTGAGCTAACCAACCATCCCTATATAGGGATCTGAACCCATGGCCTTGGTGTTGTCAGCACCACACTCTCCCAAGTGAGCCATGGGCCGGCCCCTTGGATTGTTACTACTTTTTGACTATTATGAATAATGCTGCCATGGGCGTTTGTGAACAAGTTTTTGCAGGGACCTATGTTTTCTTTTCTTTTTTTTTGTCCTTTTTGAGATGGCTGCACCGCGCTCAGCGAGCACACCGGTCATCCCTATATAGGATCCGAACCCGCGGTGGGAGCGCTACTGCGCTCCCAGCGCCGCACTGTCCCGAGTGCACCACGGGCTCGGCCCAGGGACCTATGTTTTCAATTGCCCTGGGTAACTAGGAGTGGAATTGCTAGTCATATAGTAACTCTATATTTAATTTTTGAGGTACTGCTGGACTGTCTTCCAAAGTGGCTGCACCATTTTACATTAACACCAGTAGTGTATGAGGGTTCCAATTTACCCACATCCTCACCAATACTTGTTATTGTCTGTCTGTTCTATTTTAGCCATCTTAGTGGGTGCAAAGTGGTATCTCATAGAGATTTTGAAATGCATTTCGGTAAAGACTAATGGTGCTAACCATCTTTTCATGCACTTAATGTGCATAACTTTTTTATATTGTTTGGCTTTTGAACCATGTAAATGCATTACCTAGTCAATTTGAAATTTTTAATTTCAAATTAAAAATAGAGATTCTCAGGCCCAATTGTGGAGAACGATTCATTTGGCTAAATGTAGGACCCAGAAATTTGTGTTTTTAACAAAACAGAATCCTGGATGATTCTATCACAGATGGTCCTAGAACAGGCTTAACAGACAGTTCAACCCACTGAGCAAAAACTATGGGAACTGCTGTGGGAGCAGGTGATTCTTGCTGGAGCAGTGAGATGGGTCCTAAAGGGTCAGCAGGATTCCATAGGACAAGGAAAGACATTCTAGAGAGCATAGGGGGAGGAGACAGCTATTCCTAGCCTATAACCCGAGAGAGTCTTTTTTTCCCTTAGTGGGCCCTGAACCCTCTTTGGTATCCCTTAAACATGGGTTGTAAAAAATCCAGTAGTAAAGAATCTTAAGCCCTACGGTCACCTTGGGTTAAGTACTTATTGCTCTGTTGCTGTGTGACCTTGGACACGCCACTTCCCCTCTCTGAGCCTCAGTTTTCCCTTCTGTAAGGTAAAAACAAAAGTAATCGCCTCCAATAATATTAGGAGGAAGGAGTTCATGTGCGTGAACATGCCTAGCATATATTAGGTGCTCAATAAATGTTGCTGATTTCTTGCTTGTCTTTTCCAGATCCCAGACATATAAACTCTCTTCCAAGTGTGAGCCCCTTGCTGGTTGTATGTGCTCTTGTTGCCCACCTCCAGAAAAATCCCAAGTAACTCACATCTGTTCCTTTCTCTCCACTGCCATTTCCCTGGCAGTAGCCTTCACTTGATTCCTCTGCTTCACCTGGCCCCCTCCAACCCATTATACTTACAACTACTAGACCTGTCCTTTAAAAATGCTAAACTGTGTCACGTTCCCGGTTAAACCCTTTAGTGACTCCCTAATACCCCTGGGATAAAGTGTTAACTATTATGGCCTTCAAATGCTCCAGTCACTGCAAAGTTTTTTTAGTTCTTGTGACAGCCAAGCACTCTCTGGAATCTGGACCTTCACACCTGCAGTTCCCTCTGCCTGAAAAACTCTTTCCATCCCACCTCTTTACTCCAGCTAATTCCTACTGAGGCCTCATGTCTCTGCTTAAATGCTGCCACTCTGAGAGACTTTCCTAACCTTTGAGGTGGGGGAGAGGTGCCTGCCTTTGCTCCCTCACCTTCCTGTACTTTCCCCTCATGGTACTGACCATCCTACTTCATAGCTTCCTGGGTGTAAATTCTTCCCCTCACTGGGCTGTGATCCCTCAGGAGACAGGGACCATGTCTATTTCATTTCTATCTTCCCTCCCCAGGTCATAGCATAGTATCCTGGTACATAGTAGATGCTCAGTACACGATTTTTCCCCCCCTCTTTTTTCAGATAACATAACTTTTTAAACTTTTGTTTTATTTATTTTTTATTGTGGTAAAATGTACATAACACAAATTTACCAGTTTAATCATTTTAAGTATATAGTTCAGAAGCATTAAGTACATTCACGTTGTTGTGCAACTGTGCTTACCATCCATCTCCAGAACTTTTTTCATCTTCCCAAACTAAAATTCCTTAGTCTTTAAACAATAATCCCCATTCTCCCCACTCCCCTTCCGCTCTTGGCAACAACCATTCTACTTTCTGTCCCTACGGATAACATAACGTTTTATTTGGAAATAATTTCTTTTTCTTTCATGGCCTTGACGTTTTTGAAGAGTGCAGTCCAGCTGTCTGTACTCTTCTGGACAACCGGTAGAGTCTACGTCAGTTTGGGTTTATACGTCAGTTCTTCACGATCAGGTTCAGTTTATGTATTTTTGGCAGGAATATCACAGAAGTGATGCTGTGTCCTTAGTGAGAGGCACGAAGTGTCAGTTTGTCTCATTATTGGTCAAATTAACCTTGATTACTTGGTTAAGAATGTGTGCTCCAGGTTTCCTCTCTGCAGTTATCGTTTTCTCTTTGCAATGACTGTGATCTATGGAAAGAAGCTTTTGAGACTGTGTGGATGATATGTGCTCGTTTCCAAACATCTGTCTCTTCCTTCTATGAGGCGGGGACTGCAGCATCTTAAACTCATATTGGAGCTTAAGAAAGTGAAAGAGCTCAGGAGGCCTTGGGGCGGACCGCAAAACGATGGCAAGAAAGGGCATTGATTCATCTCCTGCGCGCGGGACTCCAGGAGGGGTGGAGCAGGGCCGAGAGAAAGCGAGGGCGCGTGCGCGAGGGGAGTGACCACAGAGTCGGTCCTCCCCAGACAGAGAGGCCGGAAGTTCTCTTCCCTGAGCCGCGCGGCTGTCGGGTGGCTGAGCTGAGGCATTGCGAACGGGGTTGGCAGGTGGCTTGGCACGGTTGTCGCGACAGCGGGTTGGCTTGAGGGGCTCCGGGGTTCTGGGCGGGGACAATGGCGTCTCGGGCAGGCCCGCGAGCGGCCGGCACCGACGGTAGCGACTTTCAGCACCGGGAGCGCGTCGCCATGCACTACCAGATGAGGTATGAAGTGAGGCGAGGAGCACGGAGGCCTTCTCCATGGATGGAGCCTGCGGGGCCTGGGGAGCGAAGTTGGGGTCGGCGTTAGGGTCTCACTCCCCAGCCAGCCCCCGCGTACCCGTTGAGTCCCCTCCTCCCGTGACGGCCTTGAGCCTGTCCCCAATCTCGGGAAGCCCCGTCGCCCCCGCGACCCCTTGATCGCCCTGAGGCTTGAGGGGGTTCCAGCCCCGCGTGGGCTCCGGAGTCACATCGCTGCTGGCCCCGCTGTGTGACCTTAGAGACCTAATTTTTAATCGAGCCTCACTTTCCTTATTAGCAAAGGGAGGAAATAATCTACCTTTTAGGTTTTGGTGAAGAATTACCTAATAATTCGTGTAAAAGGGGTAGTTTAAGGCTTACCACATAATACATGTTAGCTCTTATATGTTTTTTGGGCCCGTTTAGGGAAATGTGGACGGTAAAATTCTTTCCCTGCCTAAAATGAATTTTTTTTTTTTTTTTAAAGATGACTGGTAAGGGGATCTTAACCCTTGGCTTGGTGTCGTCAGCACCGCGCTCACCCATTGAGCTAACTGGCCATCCCTATATAGGATCCGAATCCGTGGCCTTGGTGTTATCAGCACCGCACTCTCCCAAGTGAGCCACGGGCGGGCCCTAAAATGAATTTTATAAACACCCACGTAATGGGTATTTCTACATTCGTTTATTCGTTCGACAAATACTGAGATTCTACCCATCATGCATTGTGTTGGGCACCGAGGATATAATAGTGAGCAAAAGCAGACCTGGTCTTTGTATGCATGTTATACCTTCAATAAAAAAGTTCTTAGAAAGAAAAAAAAAAAAACAAACACAAAAAACAAGCGCCGTGTTGTAACACTAGGATCAAGTGTTCGGATCCCCGAACCGACCAGCCACACACACAAAAAAAAAGAAAAAAGAAAAAAAACTGGTACCTCCTTCATGGAGCTTGAAGCCTAGAAGTAACTAATTATTTTTTTCTACTTTTTTGCATTTTCTGTAATAAATATTTAAAAATAAAAATTAAAAACGATTTTCCTTCCTTAAGTCTATTGAACTCTCCCAGAATGTTCTTCACATCTTTCTCTACAGAGTTTTGAAGCATGATAAACTCTTTAGACCCTCACTTCATTCTCATCCTAGGCGCCTGCCTAAGGATGCCTCACAACCCAAGCAAGTGTTTTCTTTTTTTTTTTTTTAAAGATGACCGGTAAGGGGATCTTAACCCTTGACTTGGTGTTGTCAGCACCACGCTCAGCCAGTGAGCGAACCGGCCATCTGTATATGGGATCCGACCCCGGGGCCTTGGTATTATCAGCCCCGCACTCTCCCGAGTGAGCCACGGGCCGGCCCCCAAGCAAGTGTTTTCATGCCTGCCCAGAGCAGAAACATTGCCCTTGGGGGTAGGAGGAGGATAAAGGTGGAACTGAGAGAATGAATTAGAACTACAAGAGGACTATGTGTTTCTTTTAGGTGAAAAATCTAATCTAGCTAGAGAATATGGGCAGCCTGAGCTGGTTTCCTTACTGCCAAAAGAAAGTCATCTTTCTAAACACAGTTCTGAGTTACTCTTCTGCCTGTAAACGTTTTTTGTTTTTGTTTTTCGGGGTTTTGTTGTTTTTTGGCTGCTGGCTGGTCAAGGGTTCGAACTCTGGATCTTCTTCTGCCTTTCGACTTAATTTCATAGTCTTTGCGACTTTGTATTCCACTATGCCCCTCCCCCCCTGCAATGTATTCTTGCCATACTCAACCACTTGCTTTCCCGGAACACAAATGCAACTTAATTTCATAGTCTTTGCGACTTTGTATTCCACTATGCTCCTCCCCCCCTGCAATGTATTCTTGCCATACTCAACCACTTGCTTTCCCGGAACACAAATGCTCATTCCTTTCCACCCGCATGCTATTGCCTCTGCCTAGAATGCCTATCTCCACCCGTCCATCAGAGCCTTGCTCAAATATCACCCTCCTCTAGATAGCCTTCTCCGATATCCCATCTTAAGCAGAATTGATTCCTCCTTCCTGGGATCCCATATATATTGGAACATATATTTACTAGAGCTTTTTCACTTCATTTGCTAATTATTTTTTCCTTCTCTGTTTCTGTGCCTAGTCTCTAGGAAGAGACTATATCTTACTCAAATTTGTATCCCAGTGTCCAGTACAGTAGCCTGGCATATAGGTGATTGAAAGAAAAATTTGAATGAAAGGTACTTCTCCCTCTGCTCTGCCCCACAGTGTGACCCTCAAGTATGAAATCAAGAAGCTGATCTACGTGCATCTGGTCATATGGCTGCTGCTGGTTGCCAAGATGAGCGTGGGACACCTGAGGCTCTTGTCGCATGACCAGGTGGCCATGCCCTATCAGTGGGAGTACCCGTATTTGCTAAGTATTGTGCCTTCTCTCTTGGGCCTGCTCTCCTTCCCCCGCAACAACATTAGCTACCTTGTGCTCTCCATGATCAGCATGGGGCTCTTTTCCATTGCACCCCTCATTTATGGCAGCATGGAGATGTTCCCTGCTGCACAGCAGCTCTACCGCCATGGCAAGGCCTACCGTTTCCTCTTTGGTTTTTCTGCCGTCTCTGTCATGTACCTGGTGTTGGTGCTGGCAGTCCAAGTGCATGCCTGGCAGTTATACTACAGCAAGAAGCTCCTAGACTCTTGGTTCACCAGCACACAGGAAAAGAAGCGTAAATGAAGCCTGCCTTTTGGACTGCTCTACAGAGTGAAGCCTGGGCCTCCCAATGAATGGAGTGAGAGGGGTAGAGGAGCTTTTCTAAAATCACCTTTGGTAATTTTGGCAACTGTTATGTTGGCACCTAGTGCAAACTAGGTCCAAGTTATGGAAAGCCCCTCCTGTTGCCATCCACTGAGATGGCAAAACTATATTTAATTTATTCCTGGTTGCCAGAACTGGGTAATTAACAGACATGAAGCAAACTTCAGCTGGTTGAAATTGAGGCTCTTTGGGGCGCTTCAAGACTGAGTATTATTCTTGCCTCCTCTTGGTCCTTCTTCCCACTTCCATCCATCACCCCTTAGCCACGACACTGAAGGAGATAGGGAAAAAATCAAATTCTACTTCAATCTGTAGGTCATAGGGCAGGAAACATTTGGGAAGCTGCTCCCCCTGCAGGCTGTAGTTTCTACTACAAAGCATTTTAATTAAAAAGAATCTCAATAAAGACTGCCCTGTCCACCATGTGCCTTCTGTTTGGGATTTAATAGAGTGTGAAAGGTATGTTGCTTGAGTGGCCTTAGATACTAAGAGATGGGTAAAAGCTCCCTGAGAAACCTGGCAGTGACCAGAGAGAAGTAGAATGGGTATGGGGAACCTAACTCAGAGTTGCAATTCTGCAGCTGAATAGCAAGAATATGGGCCAGAAATTTAATCTCTCCATCTATAAAAGGTTCATTCTCATTTATCTAGCTTGGGTTGTGTCCTCTTCTCTTAGTTAGATGTTCATGTTTATCAGTGTTAACTGAGTGTCAGTTATGTGTCTCATACTATATAATGTAATCCAGAAGAATTTTAAAGTATCTCTGTTTGTAGGGAGCTTACAATCTAGGGGAAACAAGCTGTACCTGCTATACATGTGAAATAACCAATGAACATAGTATCTAATGATGTGGAGCAGATAAGTTAAAAATAGAAGTGAGGGGCCGGCCCATAGCTCACTTGGGAGAGCGTGGTGCTGGCAACATCAAGTCAAGGGTTAGGATCCCCTTACTGGTCATCTTTTAAAAAAAAAAAAAAATAGAAGTGAGAAAGAGATTTGTGATTGAACCAAAGGCCCTTCCTTTCATTCCTAAAAGTCAGACACACAGTAAATATTGCATGAAAATTGTGTGTCCCTTTGCACTTGCCTTTATTGTCTGTGGATGATACCCAAATCTATAACTAGAGAGCTCTGCCCTCTCCAGAGTTGTAGTCATTCTTTTGTTCTATAAATATTGTGTATGTACTCAGTCACTATTAGGTACTGGCAGTACTTCTAACTGCAAAACCTCTTCCTCTAGATGTCCTTTATCATCTCAAACTTCACCTTGCCTTCTGCCTCACTCATCTCTCTTCCTGCATCCCTGTGTTTGAATATACCAACAGCACAGTTCTGAATTATCATCCATTCCATGATCATGTCCCTAACATAAGCCATTATTTTTGGAGCAACCTAGATGCCTTAATCTCTTTTCAAGGTTTCCAAAGCAGTCCCAATCCACCGGTTCTGCATGATTTCCCAATACTGTCACTCACTGTCTTAGTCAACTGAACCTTGTAGATCCCCAGGTAGGTTCTAGGGCTTCCCAGTTTCCTTCACTTAAAAATTTCCCCTTTCAAGGGCCGGCCCATGGCTCACTTGGGAAGTCAACTGAACCTTGTAGATCCCCAGGTAGGTTCTAGGGTTTCCCAGTTTCCTTCACTTAAAAATTTCCCCTTTCAAGGGCCGGCCCATGGCTCACTTGGGAGAGTGTGGTGCTGATAACACCAAGGCCACCGGTTTGGATCCCTGTATAGGGATGGCCGGTTGGCTCACTTGGGAGAGCGTGCTGCTGACAACACCAAGTCAAGGGTTAAGATCCCCTTACCAGTCTTCTTTTTTTAATGACTGGTACCCCTTGACTTGGTTTCTTTTTTTAATGACTGGTAACCCTTGACTTGGTGTTGTCAGCAGCACGCTCTCTCAAGTGAGCCACGGCCGGCCCTGCATTACCGGTCATCTTTAATTTAAAAAAAAAAAGAAAATTCCCCTTTCTACTTTTTTTTTTTTTCCCCTTTTTTGTCTTTTTTACTGACCGGCAACGGGATCGCAACCCTCGGTGTTGCGCCCGCACCATGCTCAGCCAGTGAGCGGGAACCGGTCTCCACATGGGATCTGAACCCTCGGTGGGAGCGCCTCCGGGCTCCCAAGCGGGCGCACTCTCCAGTGCGCCACCGGGCCGGCCCCCCCTTTCTACTTTTACATTCCTTTATTACTTAACCTTTAAGACCCAGTTCATATGGTGATTCTAGAGCCTTTTGGTTCCTTTGAGGAGCAAGAGTTCTTTCTCTAAATTTTTATTTTACTGTGTTTATTGACAGAATTTTAAATTTGCATGTCTTTTCCACACCCCTTGCTCAGTACCTAACACATAGTATGTGCTCTGAATTTATTGAATGAAGTAACTTGCCCTACTGTAGACTAAAGTCAGGGTGTATTTCACAGAGAATAAAACTAGACTGAAGCAGGGGTAGAATTTGGAGAACAGAGAGAGGCAGAAATGGTGTGGGTAATGTAGTTACTGTGTGCACCAGACACAAATCGCTCATTTTCTTTTTCTTTTTCTTTTTTTGGCGGCTGGCCAGTACGGGGACCTGAACCCTTGACATTGCAGTTACCACTACCACGCTGTAACCAACCAAGCTAATAACCCAGGCCTTAGATTGCTCATTTTCAGAGAATTGGGATTTACTTAAATATTGGTTAAAAAAAAGTTTGAAAGTTTTTTGGTTATTAGAATGGTACTTTATGGTCTTAGAGTACCTTTAAAGACCCATTATGGAAATGATTATCAGCAATGCAAAAAAAAAAAAAAAACAGAAACAAAAAACCATTTGGTTTGTGTTAGTTTTCTGCTTGTTAGATTGTTGAGATTCTGCTTTTCTGGACTTTTCCTATCATTTTTTCCTGCCTCATGTTGTAATGTTCCCTGAAGCAAACAAGATCCCCTTGTTGGACCTTGATTTAGTGGAAATAAAACTGTATTTGGATCAGAAGACTGGGGTTCAAGTACTAATGCACCTACTAATCATAGGACTAAGATCAACCCTGCCTATTCAAAGATTGTTTTGAAGATCAAATAAGGTAAAGTATTGTGAAAGCACTTTGTGAACTATGTAACACTATATAAATGTGAATGATGGTTATTGTTCCCTGATCTTTACAGGACTGGAGAGTGTAGGAGTTGAAGGGACTCTTAGAGATCACCTAGTCCATGAAAAAGGCAGTGTGGTATAGTGGAATGAACATAGTTTTTGATATTAGTCTGACCAGGGTTGGAATTCCAGCCAGATGTTTTACTAACTTTTGCCTTGAGCAAGACACTTGATCTGACACATGGGCATCATCGTAGCTACCTCCCAGGGCGTTGTGAGGCTTAAATAAATAATGTGTATGAACAGTCTCGCACATAGCAGGGGCTTTAATAAATATCAAAATGCTTTCCTTTGATGGGCAGTGTAGGCTTCCCCTCTCAGATTGGGAGTCTCCCTGCTATTTCTCTTAGGAACTATTTCTTGCCTCAGAATTCTAGAAGTTAAAAGATAGCCAGAAAAGAGGATCTTGAATGTTATAACCATGAAGGAATGATAAATGTTGGGGTGATAGATATGCTAACAATTCTGATCAGATTATTATATAATATATGCATGTATTGAAACAAGCTGTACCCCATAAACATGTACAATAAAAACAACAACAACAACAAAAGAATTCAGGACGTTGGTCCCTTCTGGAGGAGTAGAAATAAGGAAGAGACACTTGCCCACTCTTGGTTTACATTGGTCTAATTGGTTGGACCTTCCTGCTCAGGGTGCCCTGACAGTAGGCATAATCATCCCAATGGACCTTAGGAATTAGCCATTACGGGAATATTCTGGAGCTGCTGCTCCATGGTCTGACTGGAATTCATGCACAGGTAGGGACATGACACGAAAAACAGTTGCCCAAGACCCCACAGAGTACTCTGTCCCTGAGCATGTTCAGGGGCCTGCCAGAACCTCTTGAGCTTCTGGGTTGATCCCCAAGTAAAGGTTATTAGAGCATAAAGTCTTAGCTCATTCAGATACAAACCCCAGGAGAAAAAGGCCTCAGCCAAGAGGACAGGGCCTCTTTGCTGAAGTTCCCAGACACAACTGTGTTGCCTTTACTCCAGTTGGCACCTCCTATTCCAGCCACAGAGTTATTTACTCCTCTGTTGTTGATGTGAAACACTTCCCACTCTCCTAGAAGTCTGACCACTGATAACTCACTATCATAAGATCAACTTGAAAATAATAACAATAATAAGACCTACTTTCCTTTGTTCTTCCCAAACATTTCAATTTCCTTCTCTACATTATTAACCCTGCCAAATATATCACACTGCTAAATCAAGTAGCTTCTGTGGACTACAGGGTTCAGAAATCCTCTGACTTCCTACAGATCTCCTCAAGTGGTATGTTCTGGCAGAGAGAGCCCCAGGAAGACAAAGTGGTGAGTCCCCAGCTCTCTATCTCTTAGCTGTGTGTTTGGACGAATTACCTAATCTTCCTGAGTGTTTCCCAGTCTATAAAGTGGGTTAATAAGATTGACCTCAAGGGTTGTAGTACTTATAAAATGAGACAGATCTCCATACTGGACAGCCACCAAAAAAAAAAGAGTAGGCAAAGCATATGGCCCACAGCCTGATAGGAGTTCAGCAGATGTTGATCTCATCCCCTCCCCTTCCCCAGGGTGTGCTAGAATTCACCCCTGCGCTTTTTACCTTAAATCCTTCTTGGAACAGGCTACCCAATAAATAAGTAAACGAGCAAGACAATAAATAAAATGCAGACCTCCTTTTCTCTTTTTTTCTTTCTTCCTTATCTTCATTCCTTTTCCTTTTCGATGTGCTCCTTTTCTTCCCTTTCCTCTCTCCCTCCCCATCTCTTCCCCATCCTTCCCTTCTTTCCTTCTTTCCTCCCTTTTGTCTTCATTCCTTTTTCTTGTCTCCATTCCTTTTTCTTGTCTCCATTTCTTTCTTTTCTGCTTCTTTTTCCATATCTTAACCAGGGCCAAGGAGCATTTAACCAAGTATTTTCACTGTGAGAGTCAGATCAGAGGATATGGGGTCGAGAAGGAAGAGTATTCATTCCAGAATAGAACGAAGTTTCTCACTTCATGCCCCCAGCACTAAAAAACCCATTATTTATGTAGATCTAAACCACTGTCAGTTAGGTAGAATTTTGGGGAAGGCTCCCTAATCCATTCTGGGATGGCCAGACCACTCTCTCCTCCCTTTAGATCTTACTGATTTGTTTGCAGAGATGGGCTCCAGGGCCAAAAGACAGTATTGCATCAGACAGACCCTTCTGGGTACCAAAAGCAGAGGAAGATGAGGCAGTGGAAGGGGGGACCATAGGATAATAGAGAATTGAGTTGCAAGGGCCTAGCAGAAATGGAGCTCCCTGGGCTACAGACTTTGACCTTGACCAAATCACTTTCTCTTTGCTTCCTTATCTCTCTCTTTATGAAATGAAAACAATAATTCTCACCTTTCTCACAAGGTGCTTAGGATCAAATATGAAAGTGCTCTGTGAAATGTGAAACAGATATGCTACTTAGATGCAATGTATAATAATTTGCATTTATTCAATTACAGAGCACCTATTTCATGACATCCACTGCAAGGCACTGGAGAAACAACAAATAAAGGATTTTTTTGGCAGCTGGCCTGTACTGGGATCCAACCTGCAACTTTGGTGTTGTAAAGCTGCACTTTAACCGACTGAGTTAACCAGCCAGCTCTCGTCTTTATCTTCTTTTTTTTTTTTTTTTTTATAAAGATGACTGGTAAGGGGATCTTAACCCTTGGATTGGTGTTGTCAGCACCACGCTCACCAAAGTGAGCAACCAGCCATCCCTATATGGGATCCGAACCTGCGGCCTTGGTGTTACCAGCACCACACTCTCCCGAGTGAGCCATGGGCCGGCCCCTCGTCTTTATCTTCTAATGTACTCAAAAGCTAAAGGGTATTTTTAGGATAATGGGTAGGATGGGGTCTTCAAACAGTGGACCTCAAGACTTAGGAATTGAATTGGCCAAAAGAAGGCTGTGATCAGGCTACTGAAATGTGGTACAGATTGAGCTGCAGAGGGACAATAACAATCTCAAGATGCTTAGACCTGGTAGGTGTGCCTCAAACTTTCCACTGTGTGTGTCACCAAGGTGAGAGCTGAAGCAGCTCAAATGCTCCATGAGGGGGAGGAAGCTGTGGGATGATGGGGAGGTTTCCACAAAGACTGGAGCCTTGTCAGCCTTTCTCCAGCACCGGAAACCACAGGAAACCAGGTCAGTGCGTGGGGCCCACTCCCTCTGCTCCAGGGCTCGGCTGTAAGTTCTGGGGCTTCCTGAGCAGGGTGTACTGATTAGTGGGTCCTTGAAACTGGAGGCCCCTTTGGCATAGAGCCCTTTGCCCAGAAGTGCTGGAATTCTTGCTAATGGGTAGAGGGAAAAAGCTGGGCTTTCTCCTGAGAGTCAGCCAGGTGGGGAGCCAGGGTACAAACGGGACCATGTGAGGTTTATGTGTGTTCTGTAGTGCCTTTCCCTCCACCCCTAGCCCTAAATGGTACCTAAGTCACCTCTGTCTCCAGGATCCAGGACCTAGTGTGAAGCAGTACTTTATTCCTGGGTTTTTGTTTTTGGTTGTTTTTTTTTTTTAGCACTTTTTATTTAAACCCTGGACCTTGGTGTTATCAGCCCCATGCTCTAACCAACTGAGCTAACCAGCCAGCACAGTAGTGCTTAGTATTTCTGTTAATTCTCTAAGTGAAGGGATGAAGCACATGTTTACTGGAGACCCAAGTTCAAGTGTGTTCGTGGGTGGGTCAGATCTGCAGGGTGTTTCAGGAGTAGGAGGGGTTAAGAAATGGGTGCACCTCCCAACCTTGTACTGGCCCCTTTCCTGTTATTTCTCTGCCACAGCAGGAGCCCCTTGTCTTGAGGGGGTGGGGGGGGTGTCAGTAGGGTTTCCTAGGGGACACGCGTCCCTCAGTCCCTCTGCTTGGAGGGGAAGGAATGTGGCCTGGCCGGCTGGTTAGGATCAAGGAGGAGCTTTGGGGCAGGGCGGGGTCAGGGTAGGCTGAGGCGAGGGCTTCTGCTGGTACTGTGTTCCTTGCTGCTAAACGGCAAGGCCCTGCCGCCCGCCTTCAGGCTGTGCAGGCATGTTCTGGGTGCCCTGATCCCACAGAAACCTATGGGGAGCCCCAGACCAGCAGCCCTGCCCCTGCCTCTCATGCTGTTCCTCGGTCTCTCTGCCTCCGCTGGGATTGGCGGCGCCTCCCTGCTCTGCTGGAGAACTTGCTGTCTGCTGGCCTCCCACATGGTAAGGTGCCTCTGCTGGGGGGGGGACACCTGCTTGGCACAGGTGTAATGCTCCCTACTCCCCTACCTGCCCTTTCCTACCTCCCCAGTCCCTGTGTTTTGGTGGCAGCCTCAGTGTGTCCTCTACATAGTCTCAAAGGGGTAGCATGGGACATGGTGAGCTAAGGGCCTCAGCAGGGTGGAACTGAGAAGAAAAGAGTAGATGGCTGTTAGCTATGGGTCTGAGAATTAGGTGATTTGAGGCCAAGACCCCAGGAAGAATGCTCCTTATGGGAGTCCCTACTAATAACACCTCTCTCTCTTCTTTTCTCTACTGGGCCCTATGCCTTCAGGATGACAGTTTCACTGGTGAGTCTCATTTCCCACCCGACTCCTCTTCCCCAGATCCCCTTTTGTTTCAGATCCCTAGTGAGCTCTCCATTCCAATTTTTGGTTCCCAGCCTGGGAAGTAGCACAGTATTAAGGAAAGAGTAAAGGGTTTGTAATTAGGACAAGCCTGCTTTATATTGCAGTTCTGCCACAGATTCCATGTGTGGCCTCAGACAGTGTACTTAACCCACCCAATTGACCCTCAGTTTCTGAGGAGCATAGGAGTGTGGTAAAAATGATTGTACGAGGAAGACAGTATTGCCTCTGACCTGTGGGGAGGATTAAATAAGACACACGGGTAAATCAGTAAGCACTCCATAAATGTTGCTTATTCATAGTTTATGGTACATTCTAGTTTACAAGGCATTTTTCCACACATTATTTTACTTGATTTTTACAACAGCCCCACTTTATAAATGAGGAATCTGACACTTAGAGAGGGCCTATAACTTACCCAAGGTTACACTTCCAGGATGTAAGTGGCAGAGCTCAGCCGCAAATCCAACTTGTCTGAGGTAGGAGGAACCTCTTTAGATACTATCATTTGGTTTCCTTTCCATTTTCACAGAAAGTTCTACCTGTATTCCTTGCCGCACCCAGTCGGCCCTCCTCCTCTCCACAAAGCTTTGGTATGCTCAGGTCTGGCACTGTCCCTGCTGTTTGTGCCTGCATCTGGTGCCAGATCCCTCAGGTATGAGAAACAGCCCTTTGGGCCATTCTCAGTGGAGATGTGAATTAGGGACATTTTGAAGAGTGCCACCTAGGCTGAGGCTTGTCATACTAGAACAGATATTTGTACTGTTGTCAACCTCAACAAGGACTTAGAACATCCTAAAATAACAACATGACTGATATTCATGAGGGCAATTGTATGATTTTATGAAGGTGCTAATCTTTTTAACTGGTACCAATTCTTGGGATTAAAATTTTTGAGTTCTATGATCTTATTGTTTGTTATTACTTTCTATTTGTAAAGTAAGATCTCTCTCCTTTCTTATTCAACTCAATATTTTCATTGTCTGGCTCAGTGTCTGGTATGTACTAAATACCCATACTGTGTAAGAATTGGCAGTTTCTAATTTTTCACTATTAGAAATAATGCTACAATGAACATCCTTGTATATATAGCTTTTCCACTACATGAGAAATTATTCCTTTTTTTTTTTTTTATTGCATCGTAATTTTCAGGACTAAAGAAGTTTGACATCATTTTCCTCCTTGATTTAAAATGACTTACTCTCCAACACTGGGTCACATCTCCAGGTAGGAGAGGGCCGATGAGGGCTGGATAGTAAGTGTATATTGCATCGTAATTTTCAGGACTAAAGAAGTTTGACATCATTTTCCTCCTTGATTTAAAATGACTTACTGTCCAACACTGGGTCACATCTCCAGGTAGGAGAGGGCCGATGAGGGCTGGATAGTAAGTGTATCCTCCCCTGTGCAGGCCTTCAGTGGGGCTGGTTCCACCTCCTGGTGCAGAAATCCAAAAAGTCTTACAAGTTCAAGTTCTGTAGGAGACACAAGATGCCAGCATCTGCTCAGGTACTCTCCTTGCCAGTTCAAGCCCTACCCTGTGCCCCACAGCTCTCTTCTTTCTGGCCACTAATTTTGTTCTCCAGCTTTGTGAGAGAGATGGAAAGCATAGAGATGAAGTAGACTATTCTGTCCATTACATGGTTAGGGAAGCTGAGGCGAAAAGAGGCAACTTGCCTGTGATACTTCAGGTTCCAGAGTCAGAAACAGAAGACAGCTTTCCTGATTCCTGGCCTGAAGCCAACCTTGTTCTCTGCCTACAGAGGAAGATGCTGCGTAGCTGTTGCCCATTTCAGAAGGGCCATCGCATTTCCATCCCCTCCCCAAACATCTCCCACAAGGGGCGGCGCTCCAAAAGGACCCAACCTTTGGATCCAGAGGCAGTGGAAAGTCTCTCCAGACTAGGCACACAAAGGCATGGAGGTAGGCATGGGGTGTGACAGGAGATGGGTTCGGCTAAGTAGTGGTACCGGAATTAAGGCCAAGAGACAAGACCACTGATTCCCCTTCTCCCCAGGGCCCAAGTTCTCCTTTGATTTGCTGCCTGAGGCACAGACTATTCGTGTGACCATTCCTCCAGGCCCCGAGGTCAGTGTGCGTCTTTGTCACCAGTGGGCACTGGAGTGCGAAGAGCTGAGCAGTCCCTTCGATGCCCAGGTATGGAGTGTCATCCCCCTGTAAAAAGCCAGATCACACAGTCCTGGAGCAAAAAAGGCTTACCCGTTGTACAAATGGAGAGGCTGAGGCCCAGAAAAGGAAGGTGATTATCTAAGATCTCCTCACACAGTGAGGTGCTTAGCATTAAAACTTCTTTGGGCTGGCCAGTTAGCTCAGTTGGTTAGAGGGCAGCCTTGTAACACCAAGGTCAAGGGTTCAGTTCCCACCTACCAACGAGCCACGAAAAAAAGAAAAGACTTCTTTGTTTTTTGTTTTTTTTTTAAAGATGACTGGTAAGGGGATCTTAACCCTTGGCTTGGTGTTGTCAACACCACGCTCAGCCGGTGAGCTAACCGGCCATCCCTATATAGGATCTAAATCCGTGGCCTTAGGTGTTATCAGCACTGCACTCTCCCAATGAGCCACGGGCCAGCCCTAAAGACTTCTTTGAATAGACTGAAAAGGCAGGGGCCTTCTTACCTGGGAGGAGAGAAAAGGGAGGGGTAGGCAGACACCTGGAGCAACTATGAATGACGAGCAGAGAAATAAGTATGGTATTTGCCTCCAATGAGAGGACCCTCAGTATGATTCAGGTTGCATTAAGCCTTTTCACCACCATTCAGGTTGCATTAGAAGTTTCCCCAAGGGCCGGCCCGTGGCTCAGTTGGGGAAGTGTGGTGCTGATAACACCACGGCCACGGGTTCGGATGCCTATATAGGGATGGCTGGTTAGCTCACTTGGAGAGCGTGGTGCTGACAATACCAAGTCAGGGGTTAAGATCCCTTTACCAGTTATCTTTTAAAATATAAAAAAGATGTCTCCCCAAGAGGTTGTTCCCCCTGAGAAAATAATAAAGTGGCCACATCTGTCTCAGTTCCCTTCCATCTCCCTTCTTTTGTTCCTGCCCCTCAGAGAATGAGAGGTCTCTCATTCTCCCAGACCAGGCCTTAACATTCCACCTCAAACTCCAGTTGTCACGGATGCCATTGTATACAGTTGGTACAATTTGCAGAGACTGATGCTGTACCCCTGAGGCCTTTAGCTCTCTTGATTTACAAAATGGTGATGATACCTCACAAAATCACCATGATGCTAGCATTTAATTAATTGAGTAATGTTTCTAGAACCTAGCACCCTGCTTGACATACTGTAAGGGCTCAATAAACATATTCCTTTCACTGTCTCTGCCCTCCCCCGACACACACACCTAGAGCAAATGGTCACACTACAGAGAAGAGACTCTGTGAAAAGAAATTTCTTGGTGAAAGAAATATGTCTCATATAAAAGAAAAACTAGGGTGTGGTGGCCAAGGTCCCATCTTCCTTCTGCCTTGTCCATGGTGCTCTTTCTCAGGCATCTTTTCTCTCCCTTTGCTGCTTGATCAACAGAAGATCGTGTCTGGGGGCCACACTGCAGACCTGCCTTATGAATTCCTTCTGCCCTGTCTGTGCATAGAGGTGAGTGGAGGAAAAGGGGTACATTGTCCATGGCTCTGCTCCTTGGTCCCCCAGATAGCACAGTTAGTCAGATATATCTCCAGCAAGTCCAGTTTGAAAAGGACTGGGTGTTACCCAGATGCTTGGGAAGACTGGTCCCAGCTTGCCTGTGAGCCACACACTGGGTCAGAGGTGGAAGGGTCCTGCTGAACACAGGACTTTCTTAGGATGATTTCAACCTCAGCCCCACCCAAACCCAGCTTTCCCTGGCCCAGACCCGGCCTCAGCCCACAGTCAGAAAAGACAGCCACTGTCACTGTGTGGTCTGGGGAGGCAAGGCATGGGTGTGTGGCCACTGCAAGGTTCCATATGCTCACAAATGTCTTGTCCTCTCTAGCCCTCCATGACAGTCTGCCTCCTCTCTTTGCAAGTCTGAGATGCCTAGCAGAAAATCTTCTTTGTTTTTATTTTTATTTATTTTTTTTTTAAAGATGACCAGTAAGGGGATCTTAACCCTTGACTTGGTGTTGTCAGCACCATGCTTTCCCAAGTGAGCTAACCGGCCCTCGCTATATAGGGATCTGAACCCATGGCCTTGGTGTTATCAGCACCACACTCTCCCAAGTGAGCCACAGGCCGGCCCCAGAAAATCTTCTTTGGACTAGACAGAAAATGCAGGGGCCCTGTCACCTGGGCGACCAAAGGGAGTGTGTGAGCAGAGTGTACAGCAGTTGGGCATCTGGGCAGTCCAGAGTGAGGAGCCAACACAGCACTGGGTGTCTTGGGAATGGCTGAGAGCAGAGGCCAGGGAAGACTGAAGTTGACACTGTTAACCTCCTGATTTCCCTCTTGCTGAGGATAGTTCTCTCCAGAGAGAAGAGGAGGCAGCCTCTCACTTGCTGCGTTCCTCCCACCTGTGCCCCCACCCCTCATAGCTCCCCTCCCCAGTGCCCTGTCAGCTCTAGCAGCATGCATCACAGTACTGTGAAGCCAGAATGAGTTTTAGGTCTGAGTGACATAGGAAAAGCCATTCCTCTGACCCTGCTCACCTGCTCCCCTGTCCCCCCAGGCATCCTACCTGCAAGAGGACACCATAAGGCACAAAAAGTGTCCATTCCAGAGCTGGCCTGAAGCCTGTGAGTGCTGTTTATATGCACTCTCGTGCATTGCACACACATCCTCCATTTGTGTCTCTGTCTCTCTCTCTTACACACATACACACACACTTCACACCTGTATTGGAGGAAGCCCCCAGAAGGTAAGCATGCACTTTCCCTGGAGTCAGGGGTTGGGGGGAGAAGGCTGTCACATCTGCCAGTCAACCTGCCAATAAGTCAGAGAGTTCTGAGCATTGTAGCATTGTGAGAGGTTCAGAAATATGAGACCCAGCAGGTGGCATCCTAAGAAGATGGGCCAGAAGACCTGGGTCCACATCCTGGCTCTGCCACTGACTCTTCTCTGAGCCTCACTCTCCTCATCTGTAAAATCATGATACATGCCCTGCCTTCAAACTGTTTGTGAGGCTTGAATTAAATATTACATGTGAAAGTGGTCTGTGGTGTCTAAAGTGCTGTACACACGTTGTTGTGCTCAAGGAGAGATAGAACACTCAGACACAAGAGGTGAATAGCACAAAGCAGCCTGCAGTACAGGGCAGGGTTATAGTTAAGGACTAGGCTGTAGGGCATGGACTCAAGAAAGGAAGAAGCCCATGAAGGCTGTTGTGAGCAGAGACGGTCTCTTAGAGGCAGTGGCACCTGAGCTGGGCTCGGAAAATAGGGGCTGGCCAATTAGCTCAGTTGGTCAGAGCGTAGCCTTATAACACCAAGGTCACAGGTTTGGATCCATATAACAGCCAGCCACCAAAAAAAAAAAGAAAGAAAGAAAGAAAAAAGAGAGAAAAGGAAAATAGGCAGGATTTAGAAAGGAAAGATGGGAGGGGAAGGCATGCCTGGTTCTGAGGTTCTGAGAGGAGCCTAAGCAAAGATATGAAGATTTTGAGTTTGGGGAAGGAGCTGGTCAGAATGGAGGCCCAGGAAAGGGAGAACAGAGAGGTAATAAAACAGGACTGGAGAAGGGATGCTCATTTATTGCATACATATTCAGGCCAGGAACCATGCTGGGTACTTTCACAAGTGTCATCTCCTGATTCCCTGGGGATGGGGGTGACAAGGTGGGGCCAAAGCAGGGCTGAGGCCTCACCCGCTGACCCTGCTGCCTGCCCAGATGGCTCAGACTTCTGGAAGTCAGTGCACTTTGCTGACTACAGCCAGCACGATCAGATGGTCATGGTCCCGACACTCCGCTGTCCCCTGAAGCTGGAGGCCTCCCTCTGCCAGAGGCAGGACAGGCACACCCTCTGTGAAGACCTCCCCAATGCCACAGCTCGAGAGTCAGAGGGGGTGAGGACAGGCTCCCCCAGGATTGGGTTGGGCAGGTCTGGGGCCCAGGAACCTTCTCCCTGACTAACTCCCCTCTCCCGCACAGTGGTATGTTTTGGAGAAGGTGGACTTGCACCCCCAGCTGTGCTTCAAGGTACAACCATGGGTGAGAGGGGACGGTAGGGATTAGTAGGTTGTGCCTGGAGCTTGCTGATTTGCCATTCCTGTATTTCTCAGTTCTCTTTTAGAAACAGTAGCCATGTTGAATGCCCGCGCCAGACTGGTGAGCCAATAAGTGACCTTGCTGGGACTCCCCACATTTCACCCTTACCCACAGTGACTAAGTCAAACTCCAGCCCAGCCCTGACTTCCCTGTCAACTGCAGCCCAGCTCCTATCACCTCCCACAAACAGAATCTCTCACATCCTGGAACGTGAGCATGGATACCCAGGCCCAGCAGCTGATCCTTCACTTCTCCTCCAGGATACATGCCACCTTCAGTGCTGCCTGGAGCCATCCAGGCTTGAGGCAGGACACCTTGGTGGCCCCCGTGTACAGTGTCAGCCAGGTATGGCCTAGCCAAGGTTTGGCCCCCATTAGGTCCTATTGCTCAGAGTGTAGCCCCAATCTCTTTATCACCTCATTGAGACAGATCCTGGGCAGGTGGAGGCAGGCAAATCCCTGACTTCTATCATCTGGCTAACTTATTTACTTGATCAGCCTTTGTTCAATTGGCTCCTCTGTCAGTTAGTGGGGTTCTTGATGGAGCAGTTTCTAATCATTCCAGTTTCTAAACTCACAGGGATAAAAGAGGGAGGGACTGGCCCTCCCCGATTCAGCTGTTCTCTAGCTTACCCAAACTCTGCCACATTTTATATCAATTTCTTCCCTTGAACCCAGCTCTTCTCTACTACTACTTTACTGCCTCCACAAGGCAGCTGTGCAGAAGTTCTCTATCTCAGGAGGCAGAGCCCCTGGAAGCTGAAGTACTCTTTGCTCAATACTGTAAACTACTGACAGATTTAACTCTATTTTGTGCACTAAGAACAGTTTGATTAGCAGACTCTCTTCCATGTAACTGATATAAAAACCACAATCAAACACAGCTCCAAGCTGACTAAGCATGACTAAGCTCTTTCCAGTTCTTTAAGATTTAAGACATGCTTAAGTGTTAAGACGAAGTCATGTGGGATAACCTAAAATTGAGACCTAAATTCATTTAGGTGAGCTGAGAGCCACTATATCAGCACCTACTCACAAGCTGGCTGGAGAATGGGGTCTGAGACAGATGCAGGGTAGGGGGTAGAGGGTCGAGAGTGTTCTCTAAGGATGGAGACTATAGTCAACTCCCTAACCAGCACCCAGAACACAGGGTGGGTGGGCTGGCTGATTGGCTCATTTGGTTAGAGTGTGGTACTGACAACACCAAGGTTCACAGTTCAATCCCTGTACCGGCCAGCTGCCCACCCCCAAAAAAGAACACAGGGTGGAGTCACATCCTCCCTGTAGACAGATGGAAATCAGTTCTGTGCAATTCAGCATGCATATATGGAGTGCCTACTCTGTGCCCACCCTGTATTAGGCCCTGGGAGATACAAGAAAAGTATATAACAAAGTCTCTGCCTTTAAGGAGTTCACAGTCAAATAATAGCTACTACAAAATGAATATACTCTACAGTTTATTATAAAGGGTGTTCACATGCATATTCCCATTTGATGTTCTCAGTAACAGTAAAATAAAAATGATTATCCTGGGCCGGCCCGTGGCTCACTCGGGAGAGTGCGGTGCTGATGGCACCAAGGCCCCGGGTTCGGATCCCATATAGGGATGGCCGGTTCGCTCACTGGCTGAGCGTGGTGCTGACAACACCAAGTCAAGGGTTAAGATCCCCTTACCGGTCATCTTTAAAAAAAAAAAAAAATGATTATCCTCCATATACAAAGGAAGAAACTGAGACTCAGGGAGGAGAGGTAACCTGTCTCCATGTAAAGATCACACAGGTAGGAACTACAAAGGCAATAGTTAAGTCTGATCCTCCATATACAAAGGAAGAAACTGAGACTCAGGGAGGAGAAGTAACCTGTCTCCATGTAAAGATCACACAGGTAGGAACTACAAAGGCAATAGTTAAGTCTGAACCTAGGTCTCCTGACTCCACAATTTATTCTTTCTAGTGGACAAGAGCGTGGAGGAGAGTGAAGGGAAGCAATTAGCCTCCCTGGTTTGTGAGCTGCTGGAAGACAGACAGTCTGTGCCCATCTTCTTTCCTCAGGGCTTGGCACAGAGTAGGTGCTCAGTGTGTTTGTTGATGAGCGCCTAAATGCAACAGGAGTAGAGATCTGGGAAAGATCAGTGAGGGCTGGAGTGGTTTACAGTCTGTGCCCATCTTCTTTCCTCAGGGCTTGGCACAGAGTAGGTGCTCAGTGTGTTTGTTAATGAGCGCCTAAATGCAACAGGAGTAGAGATCTGGGAAAGATCAGTGAGGGCTGGAGTGGTTGGGAAGTTTTGTCAGAGGTGGCTCTCGGCCTTAAGCCTTGAGGGCAGTGGGGGGACAGAAACAACAGCATGTGCAAAGACTCAGAGGCTGGACAGAGCCAGCTTTGCCTATGTGAGGACAGTCATTCTGTTCTTTGTTCCTACAGACCCAGGGCTCAAGTCCAGTGACATTAGACCTCTTCATTCCTTTCCTGAGGCCAGAGGGCTGTGTCCTGGTAAGGAATCCTACCTTCACTCTGCATACACTCCCCTGCCATCTACTCCACAGGTGGCACACCCAGAAAATCCAGTCTGCAAAAATGTTTGGTTTGGCCAGCAGTGTTTTATTTCTTTCTCTCTCTCTCTCTTTTATTTTTTTCTTCAGCCAGCACAATGTTTAAAATTGGAATTAGTTGCCACCATTTACATATATTTTTTAAAAAGCTGGCTTTCTGGCTTCTCTTGAAAAATCAGAAAACCTAGTGCTCTGTGTCTACATTTTGACATGGTAACAATGGCCTGGAGCTCAGTGGTGTCTGATTGTATCAGCCAGAGGCTGTGTTCTCCAGGTCCTCACAGCAGCCCTGGCCAACTTCATGAGTTTACTTTTTGAGTTTGGCTCCTGTCACACTTGAGTTTGCCACCCTTGACCTGTGCCAGGCCGGGAGCTGGACCAGAACAAATCCTGAGTTGGAGGAACTCCCTAGCCAATGGTGACTCCCCTTCTTCACTCCCATGCTTCATTCAACTCCCCTTGGGATGAGGGGATGCCCTGGCTCACAGAGGTGGGGGGTCTATACTCTCAGGTGTGGAGGTCAGATGTCCAGTTCGCCAGGAAGCACCTCTTATGTCCGGATGGTGAGTTCTTGGGGTGGAGGGAGGTAAGAGGGAGCTTGGGCACTGAGGAGCTGGGTTTGGCCTCACCCTGCTTGGCTCAGTCTCTCATAGACGCCTGGGGCTCTTGATTCTGGCACTGCTGGTCCTCACCACCCTTCTGGGCGTTGTTCTGGTCCTCACCTGCTGGCACCCATTGTCAGGTAAGCTCACTGGGGGTAACCTGGGTATTCAGACCTGCCCAGCTCCTAGGTTAGTTGCCCCCTTCCCTTCCCCTGCCTAAGTTCTCTGCAACTGCACCCAGTCTCTGCTACCCAAGGGGGTGGGCCTCACACCCCCTAGTGGGCAGGAATGGTTAAGGCAGTGCTAAAGACCCTCAGTGCTGGTTGTCACTGTACCAAAGTTCTGGGTGAGGGGTTAATGGGGCGGAAATCCAGCCTGCACTGCACCGCACTTGTCAAGGCTGGCGCCCTGGCCCTTGCTCTGGAAGAGGCTCCCTTATTAGCCCACAGGCACCCTACAGGTAGGGCCTAAAGACCAGTGCAGATACAGGGCGGGCGGGAGGAGGGGACGGCAACCTAAGGTGTAGCCCAGAGCCGAGAAAGAGAGGGCCGGGCTGTCACTTAGTCCCCTACCCTGTTCATCTGTTGCTCCCGTGCCCAGGCCGGGGCCGAGCGCGGCCGGTGCTGCTCCTACACGCGGCGGACTCAGAGGCGCAGCGGCGCCTGGTGGGAGCGCTGGCTGAACTGCTGCGGGCCGCGCTGGGCGGCGGGCACGACGTGATCGTGGACCTGTGGGAGGGGACGCGCGTGGCGCGCGTGGGCCCGCTGCCGTGGCTCTGGGCGGCGCGGGAG